ATTATACATTTCCACTTCTTTTAACCCCGTTTCATTTGTCTAAAACCCAAATGTTTTCCCGTTTGCTACTTTTGTCTTTTATTCCTTTTCTTTAACTTTCTTAAAAGCCTTTTGCTTTTCATTCCTTTAGCATTATCTAGTCTGTTATATCCTTTTACCCTGTTTACCTTTTTCCACATTTTGTCGCATTCCAAACCCCTCCGAAAAACTATTACGTCCTCTTATGGGGCGCTTCATCCACCCCTTTCATCGATGCCTTGGATTTTCCGTCTTCGTACGGGCTTGCGACTATCAGTGGGCCTCGTCTGGATATTTTACTCCACCCTTCCCGAAGACCGCCATCGTCACCCAACACGACCCCCTGGTGCTGTGCTTGAGAGTCAACCGCACTCTCCTGCTTTTTGCTTCTTCAACACTTGGCATCTCTTGTTTGGCAAGTCACAAAGATCTTTACATCCCAAGTGCTACACTCTGTACTGTTTTTCCTCTGTTTTCATGCTTCATCACCAGTAAGCCATAAACATATTTTGCTTCTCAGTTCGCGCATGCAGACAGCGCACCGCGGCACACTGCAATTCATTGCATTTGATGACCGTAAGCCATAAAAATTCTAAATAATAAAGATTTTTACCCCAGAAGGAATACTTCTGTGCCAGCTTGTGAAACAGAATTGCTTCAAGTTTCTAAACTCTTATTTATTGGTAGCCAACAGATGTCATTACTTAACTAGGCTTTCATTCGTCGTACGCTTATTGCATTCTTTGTTTTTTTTATGGGACTTTTTTGTCGTAGTGGATCGTGGGCTTAGGCAACAGGTTTCAGCTCTAGCATAATTTTCTATACGTACGTTTACATACTCCCTTTCATGTGAATGCTGTGCTCCAGACTGCTGCTTTGCCGCCGTTGATGGTGCGCATCACTGACACACTAAGTGCACCTTCTCTCACTTTCTTGCTAATAAAGTCTTTCTTTTTCATTACGTTGTTAGAATGAGGATATCCTCTCTCCCTTGTATTAATTTGGGCTCTTTTTGTCGTCCTGTAATTATTTAGGAAGCCAATCGTTATCACCGTTAGCGATATTCGTATAGAAGGCGAATGCAGTCAACACGCAACATCTTATCGCCAACAGTATCAGCGAAGCGATGTGGAACGCTGTCTGTATTGGTTGCAAGTAATACCTTTTTATCCGCGCAAGAAATCCGAGTGCCCGCTCGTTGCTTTGCTTATGGAAATGGCGAGAAGTTTTCCTCTGTTATGGTGCTTGAATTGTCTAAATACGTCACGGGGTTCAGTGGATTTTTCATGCTGGGCTTTACTGAGATAGACCTTATTGAAAGGAGGGGGGGGGGGGGGGGGGGG